TCCAAACATATCTTTATATAAGTTCACGTTGTTATTGCAGATGAAATATAACATGGGAAACACTATTTAGGATAGATAGTATGCAAATTGGGACACGGTATCACTCTTCTAATCTTCATGAAGAGCCCACAGTTACCTATTCTGTCATGTTTTCTGGCTGACTTGAGATTGCTTTGCTTCTGTCTCCTGCTATCCTGATCCAGGGATGCAGTTCAATCTACTCGAGATCTCTTTTGATCAGGCTCATCTACTTGTAGTTAAAAATAACTTAATATATACTTGACTGCTTGTTTGGCATTTTGAAAATTCAAATAATATTTAGGTAGGCCACTCCGCGCAAAACAATCACCAACCAGTGTAAACATAATAAGTGAATGAACATTAGTGATTGTAAACGTAAGAAAGCTGATTGGTCGAAAGTGACTACCACAATCCACACAGCTTTGTTCGCTGTTTTTCACTCAGATTCATTCACATTCTTTCTCCCTCTCTCACACACACACGCAGGTATTCACCATGCAAAAGGTGATGCCAGATCAATTAAATTAAATGCTGTATTGCAAAACACGAATATCTGATATATATTTCCCAGAACAGCATCCAGCAAGATCCAGTGTTCTGTCAATTTGTCCTACCTTGTCAGATTTTCCTACCTCCCATTCAAAAAGTAGGTAGCACATTTAGATGACGCACTATACTACCCATCAGATTTTGCTACCAGTGTGAATTCCAACTTGGAGTAGTCTGATACAAACGGATTAGTTTTTAAACTTAAATGGTTTGTAGCAATCGGTTTCCTCAAACCGTTTGAGTTGCCTTACCTTTTTGGGTTTTTCAATACTGTGTTGGTTTGAGTTCTCTTCCTTTATCAGGTTTTACTGTGCTCAAATTGCTCTGTTTACTCAAATGGATTAAGTTCAGTAATTCATCATGATTAGTTTTTGAACTGTAATTGACTGTAATTGATTGTTGCAATCGGTTGTCTCAAATAGTTTGAGTTACCTTAACATTTTGAGTTTTACAGTGTAATATCAAACTAACCAACATAATCAATTCAAATACAATGTTGGTAGCATAATCTGATGGGTTGGATAAAATGTCAGGACACCGGCTCAAATTAAGCACCGAATGAAACTAATACAAGGCTACAGTTACTGTGGAATGTAAGTTTGGTTTAGGGTTAGTTTCATGTAATTATGCATGTAAATACTATAGTAAGTACATGGAACATTTGTGACAGTAAAATAAAATGTTAACAAATAAACATTACATAACAAAATAAACTGTATAATGACATCATTCGTTCAAACTATTTCAAAGTAACAATAATGGTTTTCATTTTTTAGTTATTTAGGTGCACAGCAGGCTAAAAGCTCTATCTATGAAGCTAATGAGATGGTGTATGCCAATGTCAGGACTTTACCACCTGGTGAGTGTGATACATAATAAAAACAGCTTTGTAATAGCGGATAACGTTAATGGACATGTATTACTCTTTCTAGATGCTTCGGCACAAGGCAAAATGTACTCAACATGGCCGCCATCAGAAGAAGCAAAGGCGGAGGTGAATCCCAGATTTCAGAGCCAAAGAAGGGCCACCAGCAAGGTTCGTCCCGCGACAGCTGCGACAACCCCGACAGCACCGGTGGAAAGTGAAAGGTGACAACTTTTTTTACTTTTATCGTAATTGTGTTGTCTTAATTAAGGGATTGCGTCATCTTAATCTTTCGCTAAGAAATAAGACGTTTTTAGTATTGCTATATTCATCTATATTCGTCATGGTGACGCAGTTGGTAGCATGATCGCCTAACCGCAAGAAGGTCGCTGGTTCGAGCCTCGGCTGGGTCATTTGGCAATTCTGTGTGGAGTTTGCATGTTCTCCTGGTGTTTGCGTGGATTTTCCCCACAGTCCAAAGACATAAGAAATAGCTAAGACATAACTAAAACTGTCTGTAGGGCATCCAGGCATCCTCTGCGTAAAACATTTGCTGGATAAGTTGCCAGTTCATTCCGCTGTGGCAACCCCTGATTAATAAAGGGACTTAGCCGAAAAGAAAATTAATAAATGAATGCTTTTTAGAGTATTGCTAGTTTTAAGAATATCTATAGACTACAGTGTGCTCCAAAACAATGGCAAAATTTGTTTAGAAGATATAAAACTGATTAAAACATCCAAAGCTTGTAGTATGTCACTTCTGCCTAAATGGATCAATGATTTAATTAATGTCATTTCATACTTTATTTTCCTCATTAAATCTTGACCAATCAAATTCTCTCTAGTATCTGACATGCCCCGCCCCCTTCAAGAAGCTTCTCAGTTGATACGCTTGAGCTCAAGCACTTTCACTGGCAGAGCGATGATAAAACAAAATATTATTGCCTATTTTTTTCAAAAGGGGGAGGAGTTACTCAGTGTCCCACCTTCTCCTCATGTTTCTGTTTAGATTACATCAAACATCGGATTAAAAATGCTAATTTCAAAGCACTTCATGGGACCTTTAACATTTTTTGTAATATTTAATAACATTTTTAATATCTAATGACATTTTGTTTTCTAGTATTTTAGTTTGTTTTAATTCAAGTTAAATTAAATAACATTATAACCATTTACTAGGCAACTGAAATTAATATTAATAACTTTATCATATTTATTTAAGTAGCTCAAATGTTTTTTATTGGTTTCAGTTTGTGGGTAGATCGACATGTCAACAATGTGCTTAAAATGGAAAAGTTTCTCCTTTGTGATTTTAAAACTTTTGTGTACACAACATTGTCAAATTGATTCTCATTTACATATATTGTTGTACCAACATAGGCTCATTCAGAAAACGTAGCCCTATATACATTTCTGGAGATCGTGAATTATGTAGCTAGAGGTACAAATAGCTGAATTTCGTCTATAAAACAAATGCTATTTGCTTTTGAAAACACTATTGGTTGGGTTCTGGAATGGAGGAGGGTGGGTTAGTCGATTGGTCAGACTGTCAGTCAGTCAGTCGACAGCGGCCTCTAGTGGATTTATGTGAGAACAGCAGGTGCGAATCACACTCATGAGAGAAATTTGAGATTAAAAAGCATACACAGCGGACTCTGGTGGATTTGCAAAATCAAAGACTGCAAAAAACATACCTCCCGGGACATATTTGGTGCTCTCCAGAATTATATATAGGGATGCGTTTTCAGAATGAGCCAGGTTGCATTATACAATTAACTAAAACGCTATATTGTGCATGTCGTGGCAGTAGTTGGTGATTTTACTTTGCATGATAATGCTCTTGTAGTTTGCCATTGTTGTTTTAGTTGTGCTGTCATTTTAAACATGTTTTATGCATGTGCATATTGACACTATTTTCACAGTTTTTGTGGTTTACAAGTAGACGATAATGGTATCATTTTCAAAAACTTGCATGTTGCATTTTTATGGTTCCAAAATAACTTTATTTTGTAAATGAAAGGCATAAATATTGTAGTTGGAAACAGCCCACAGTTACATATATTAACCTTGATGTTTATTTATATTTTCAGATACTAGAGAGCCAGCTTTTGGTAAAATGCCAGCAGTCCTCAAAGGAAGTAAAACCAAAATGGAGATATTAAATCTTACAGTCAAATCTCATGAGCAATAAACAACATTACTAGAATATGTGAATAAAATTGCTATTTGAATTAAAATGTCTTTTCTTGTGCGTGTTTGTTTGTGTGTTTGTTTGTTTTTGTGTGTGTGTGTGTGTGTGTGTGTATGTGTATGTGTGTGCGCGTGTGTGTGTTTGAGAGAGAGAGAGAGAAGGAGTGTGTGAACTAGAAGAGCATTGAATTTAGCATTGAATTTAGTTGTTAATTGGGTTTATTTTTTAAAGACCCAATTAACAATAATATTATAAAAAATTGTTAAATATTAGTTGGTAACTATTTACCTGAAGATAAGGAGTGAATGATCTTAGATATCCAACTGAGGTGTGTGTGTGTGTGTGTGTGTGTGTGTGTATGCACTTGGTTAGAAGCAGAAGACTAATTTCATGACAAGTATGGGTAAAACCATACTTGTCAAGGCTCACTTCTTCATTTCACAAAACTTTTATTGTTTTTTTTTTTTTAACTAATTCTGGAAACTTAACTTTTTAGTAATCATTTAAAATGTTTAATACTTTTGGCAATAATTTTTAAGTTTACTTAGTTAATTTATTGCTATTTATTTTTTAATTAGATTTCTTAATCAATGTCTGTACACTGAAAAAAGTGTTGCATGCTGAACTGTTACAAACAATTTATTTGTGTTGAATTTAAACAAATTAAGTTTAATAATGTTCAACTTAATTTGTTTAAATTCAACACAAATAAATTGTTTACAACCACTTTACGTAAAAAAAATCAGTGTATTTATTCCTTTTGTATTTATTATTTATTTTCTCATTGCTGATTAATGTACATATAGTTTTACAAATATTTTAGAATATTTACACACGTTTTACATTTTAGATGGACTGACTGTATTATAATGCTGTTAGTGTTTTGCCTTGCTGTCTCAAACCCATAGAAATAGAACACGTGAGTAGAAGAGAAGTCCCACCACACACAGATACAAAGTAGGCGGTGCTATAGATGATAAAGCTGTTGATTCTCGTCGGTCAGGTACAAATGTGAGCAATATTTATTTTATTTGAACAGTGTATCTTTAACTTACTCTTTTGGTCGAACATATTTACCCCATGATCCACAAAACTTGCCTCCACGAGGTTTCTGTTACTTTTCTCAAATCAAAATGGACCGTGCACAGTCGATTCTACTTCATGTGAATTCCTAAAATAACATACGCTGCTGTATTTTGCTTCACGTGACAGATGTAGGCTAATATATGTAATATACATTGCAAAAAGATTGTGGTTTGGTGTATAAATAATACAGTAAGACAAGCATGCTCTAAATAGTTTTAGGTTCCAGGCCACCACGCGCCCCCTTCTGGATGAACATTTTTTGCGTCCCAAAAGAAAACGTGTTCCGTGCATAAATATGGTCACACCCTACTGTAGTTTACATTCTTCTGGTCCTTCATGGTTCCATGTGAGCAGCTTTAATTAAAGAGTAGCTTATTATATGTGTTAAATTCCACATAATATATTCGATAAATATACGAGAATGTCTCACACTGTCGTTACTACTACAACTACCACAACAACTTCCTCGTCGGATGGAGGATTTTGCAACATCGCTTATGTGCGTTCATTTCAGGGATTACTGAAAATCGGCCAAGTGGTAAGATAATTGTATATGACTTACATAAAATGTACTTTATGAATTAAATGTGGACGAATGTGTACAAACACTCATTTATGGGAAATACATTGAGCAAGTAACGGAGTGTTTTACGCTACAATGCTGCATTGAACTATAACGGAACTTTCCACTCGCTATTTTTATAACTTATTCAGGTCTACAGAAGCATAATTAAATATATGTCTATAAAAGGTTACAAAAATGTATTCCACTTCAATATAATGCCAATTTCCAGCAACACAATTGCTAAAACGTAACTTATGGTATCACAATTTCCTTTAAATCTATTTTTGTATGTGCCTTGTTATGACTTAAAAATGTACCAAGTTATATTTCAAAGAAGACAAAATTGAATCACTTCTTACAATTGAAATGCAATTTAAGTGATGCATTCATTCACAGAATTAATCAGCTATTTAAATTATTTTGTCCGCCATGATATATGAAATATATTAATCATTTATTATTATGAAATTGCCATGTGACAGTATAGTAGTGGTTTTGGGGTCAGAGTTTGGCTTTGTGTGTTTGGGTTGTGTGTGTAGCCTATGTGTGTGCGCTCTTGTGTAGTAAGTGATGACAGGCAATGATAATTTGTAAAGACTCACACACCCCGGATGCTCAGGAACAGCCGGCTGCTAAAATGGTTGTGGTGATGAGAGAGATATAGAGAGATTTGCACTGAAACATGTGGGGCCCACCACAAGGGCCCAACACAAAACCCACCACAGAAAGAAAGATAGAAAATGAGCAGGTAATCGACAGGAAATATTCAAACCTCTGTTGTCTGTTCTACAAAATCTACATACTTAATTCTTCATCAGATTTACATAATTTTATGCACAAATACATTATACCAAATTCATTATTCCAGAGAAATTCTTACTGAAATGGGAAATCATCGCTTTTTTGAAGCTTAAAAATTAATATAGCCCAAAACAAAAATGACTGCAGAACTAATAATTTATATTTTTGTATTATTCGTTGTAATATGTTTGTTTTTAATGTTAGCTTCTGATAATTAAGCTATTTATTAATGTGTGAAAAACATGAAATAGACAAATAATTTCATTTACTGTTAGTTTTTAAAAACTTTAAAAAATTTAGCATAACAATATTACAGTTTTATTATATACAATTTTGTTTTATGTAAAAATCAGAAAATCATTTATTCATTCATTTTCGCCCTTTATTAATCTGGGGTTGCCAGAATGAACTGCCAACTTATCCAGCATATGTTTCACACAGTGGATGCCCTTCCAGCTGCAACCCAGCTCAGGGAAACACCCATAAACTTTAATCAACACATACGCACGCACACACACACACATACACCCTGGCCAATTTAGTTTATTCAATTTACCTATAGTGCATGTCTTTGGAGTGTGGGGGAAACCAGAGCACCCTGAGGAGAACATGCAAACTGCTCGGACCACAGAGCTCATGCAAACATATCCACATGTATGTCTTTGTTTGTGCAGGTGACTCTCCTGATAGCTTTCCTCTGTGTGCACTGTGAGCAGCGCTGGACCGATTACTCCGCCTTTCGCTATTTTGAAGTGGTCACTGCGTGGTTTCTCATCGTCTTCTTCTTCTTCTTCCTCATGCATTTGTTTCGCCTTCAGAGCAAAATCACATGCATCAACTGGACATTGACTGTGAGTCAGCACAGTTCACATTTTCAATGTCTGCACACTAAAGATCATGGCAGTGCTCGTCTTTCCAGAAAGTCTCTTTTAAAATAATTGGCCCTTTGTTTCTTTCGCAGGAGTTTTTACATTACGCCGTCGGAGGAATCCTGGTCTTTATCGCCTCTATAGTTGTAGCTGTAAAGAGTTATGGGATCTCAGGGTTAATCGCTGGATCAGTAAGTGTCCTTTATAGTTTATGTGCTGCAAATTGGCCAGGAAAACACACAAAGCCTTCTTGTGTTGGGAAGAGGAAGATGGAAATGTGTATCCAGGGGCATATGGTTTCCTTTACATCACACACAAACAGAATGTTGATGCTTACAAAGCTTGCACAGATTCAGTTATATAAATGTAATTAGCTGTAAAACACGAAATTGGAAGTGTTAATGAATCAAAGGTATTGCTGTACAGCTAATCAAATCATGATATGGACTAGTATCTGTGAAGAGTTAAACACAAAAAGACTGTTAGGGCGCACTATGCGAATGCTATCCGAATCGTGCCCAGGCCTGTTTCCTGGATCGTTTGAGAAGTGTGAGTGCTCTGAATCGGGCTCAGACATGGTTCAGTTGGCCGGCCCTGGCCCAGTAAGAAAAAGTGTGCTAGAGTGTGGTATGCTTGTAGTGTGTGTGTGCAAAGTTAGCCTGAGCCCGAAACTGAAGACGGGACGTGACTTTTAAAGGTTCAGGACACCCTGGAGAACTTTTTTTTATATATATATTAACAGATTTGTGTGTGTTGAGCATCAGTTAAGACAATGTTAGCACCTGTCAGCTGTAATTGTGGGGAAAACTGGATAATTTTGAGCTTTTGTCAGGTAATTTTAGCTTCTGGGATTAAAATGATTTTTGGGGCGGGATCAAAATCGGCGACATAGTGCAGTACTGCAAGTGCAATGATGATGCGTCGGTTTCTCATTATTATTCATAGCGGAGTTTTCTTATCCTATGAGAAGAGCCGGTTGCTTAATTATTCATGAGACCTGCCAGAGTCAAGCCCGAGCTGTGAGGCAAGGACCTACGGCACACAGTATTAGCCGTTCATGAAGGCTCATATGCGTTTGTTTCCATGATCCACGGGGTTTGTTGCATGTTTTCCCCCGCGATCTTGTCAGGGCCGATCATACAGCAAAGCTGTGTGTGCGCTGCTAGCATTTTTTGTCGGGAGAGCAGCACGAGAATTAGAGAATGGCGGACGCTGTCTTTTATCAGGAGTTCATTCACATTCAGACACATCACTGTGCTGCTGTGTTTGCCTAAATCCTCCAGATTACCAGCAGGGCTAATGGTTAGAACTGAGTAAGGCCCCGTTTACACTAGTGCGTTTTAGTTTGAAAACGCATAAGTTTTGCTACGGTTACGCCATCCGTCCACACTACGCCGGAGTTCTCGAGCGCCGAAAACGGAGCTTTTTGAAAATGCTGGAGAGGCCGTTTTCATTCTAAAACGCTGCTGCTCCGTCTCAGTGTGGATGGGGAAAGACGGAGACATCTGAAAACGGAGGTGGGGCTGCCGACGTTCGCCTATCTGATTGGGGCTTTTCCTCAATATTAAGTAGCCCACACACACTTCAGTCTCGCATCCTCTTCTTGCAAGTTAAGACTTCTCAAGTTTGATCAAGGCTGCAGTCTCCCCCTTCCCAGTTTGATATGGAAAACATACCGAGGACACGGGTAAATCTTCAAAGGGAACAGTGTACTTTATAACTTCATTCACATCACCTTGGCTACGTTGTTTCACTTTCTCAACAATAAAATGTAAACATGATTTAAGGAACTGCCTATTTTCATTTTATTATTAGCAACTTAACAGACAGCAGAAATGTTGAGGCGTCGTGCTGCATATATGAGCGTCATCTTCACTGTGTGGATATTTATAACAAAACGGAGCCGATAACAACTGCCTCCTTTCAATTTCAGTGAAAATACGAAACGCACCCTCTCTTTTGCTGAATATCAGTTTTAATAATCGATAATTATAGAAGTATAACATACAATAAGTTTATACATTGTAGGAAATAAAGGCAAGCGATCAGTCAATGTACCTGGATTAATCATTAACTTATCTTTGCGCTTAACCAAAACATGTTACCCGTGAACAAGTAATAGATTCCAATGACCAAAGTCAGGGAATTGGCCTATGTCGTTAGATAAAGACAACAACATGAATGAAATATCACGTTTAGCAAATATAGCGAGATTAGATCCAGCGGGAGATGCTTGATGAGCAGTCCGACAAGCAGAGCTCTCATCTGGGTAGAAATGCTGGAGCGCTTGCCCGAGAGTGTGTGTGTGGTTACGTGATGTGCCTTTTCAGCGTTTTGGTGTGGACGGAGAGCTGTTCAGAAACGCTGGGTAAAACGCGAGTGTGGACGCGGATCGTTTTCATTCTACAACGCCGTTTTAAAACTAAAACGCACTAGTGTAAACGGGGCCTCAAACTGCTCTGAGTCTGCTGGATACGGGGATTGAGGGAGAAGTCCTCATTTATAGGGTATGCATGAACACACATCTTTATAATGATATAAATTGTGGTTATGTGTATATGGAATTACGAATAACAAATGTAGCAGGGCATTAAATCACTGTTCATTTCTTTGCATTTTAACTTTGTAAACTATAAACTCATGCGTCTCCTCACGGTTTGTCTCATTTTGTGAGCTAACTAACAACAACAGTTGTCCGCTCACATTCTCCCCTGCTGGCTACGCCCACTCCTGCCCGATGCTCGCGGAGCTCCACACCCATTAATCATGCATCTTTTGAAAAAATTCTGAAGTAGACTTTAACCGAAAGTGGGGGGTGTCATGGCCCTTTAAGGGACTGATTTAGTTGTGTTTATTAATAATTCTTACTGTTTAATGAACACAAACTGTCATAGATTATTAAAGATGCAAACCCCTCACTGCACGACAGCTGCACCTTCAGAAAACCTCCTAATTCCTGCAGCAAGTGGACTTTATGATTGTTTATGAGCGTCAAAAGTGGCTGATCTGTTTGACAAAATATTTGACTGCGTGTCACTGCATATCAAATGACTAAAACGATATAACTGAAGAAATCTCCACTGTGCTGAGCGAGAGCGCTTTTTAAATTGAACAGCGCATCATCAATGACGTAAGCGTGTTCAGGCGCGAAAGATATGTAAATGCGGGTTGCAGGCCATCGGGGGAGGCAGGACAAGCGTGCTTCGGCCTGGTTCAAGGCAACTGTAAATAGTGTGAGTACGCCCTTATGTGTGTCTGTAGGAATGAATGGGCCGGTTATGTTTACTAGACACACCGTCACCTTGGAATTATAAAGTTCTATCTGCGTTCTAAATGATTTTAATATATTGAGCTTTAAAGTTTTTTGCATTCCACAGTAAACAGCATGTGTCTAACATTTGCTTTTTAAATAAAACGTTTTATAATCTAAACAACTTATTAAAAAAACATCCTATATTTTACGTTTCCATTTAATAAGAATCTGTCAATAACTCAATTTTGACAAAAATGTCAGATAGAACCTAATAATTCTAAGTTGACGACACACGTCTGTCTCTGAAATCTCTGATGAGAGTCACTTTAGCAGAATTCAGTCAAATTAAACGTTTTAGGTGTAACTTGAAGAAACTGTGACATATATTACTGTTGTACAAAGTATAATGTCTAAGTAGTAATTCTAATAATGTTAATATTAATCAAAGCATTATTTTAAATGGGAAAATGTGTTTTATAGGGCCCTGGTATTTGTAATCTTGCATAGCGCAAAACTGTTTTTGTTGTTAATGTTTTTTTAAATTTTCATTGTAATTTTGTAATTTTTTTTGTTAATTTCTGATTATTTAGTTACTTCAGAACATGTAAAATGAATAGAAATAGGATTGTAATCGCGTTTTATTAGATTAAAAAAAAAAAAATATATATATATTTTTATATATATATATATATATATATATATATATATATATATATATATATATATATATATATATATATATAATGAAACATTTTTTTTGTAAAATTAAAACTAATATACTATTAGTTATAACTAATTATATACTGTTTGTAACTATATGTATATATACTCTCACACACACACACACGCACACACAAACACACACACACACAAAGAAGACACAATACAAAAAAACCCAAACCTACTTAGTTTACAAATGAAGTTGTGTCTAATAAAATGAAACGATGCCGGATACTAATATTGAACACATAAAGAAAGGAAGTTGTAGAAAGGCAGTGAAAGCCTAAACCGCAGCTGAAATCTCTCAGTAGTTATTCAGCAACCCTCTGCCCTTCTTTATTGTAAATGAATATTAGCTGCTTCAGTCCAACATCTACATTAGCAGGATGATGAAGAAGAAACCGGATTGAACATTTCAGTAAGACTATGACCCTAAACAAAGCCAATGAAACTTTCAAATGCTTTCAGAGAAAGAAAATCAAGGTGTAGAATGGCCCAGCCAATTGACCTGACTTGAATCCAATAGAAAATAGAAATTAAAGATCAGATTTGATAAATGAGACCCACAGAACCATGAAGATTTTTACACTCTGCTGAAGTCTGTGAAAAAATCAAGCCTGAGCGATTAATGTGACTTCCTTCTCCATGTGAGAGATGTCTTTAAGCCTTTTATATAAAGTATTAATAACTGTTCAGTAGTTCAGTGCTTTCTCCTTGTGTCATTCCATTGTTATTACACAAAACTCATTATTCAGATTTTTTTGTTTTGTTTTATTTTTATGTTTGCATTGTTTGGGTTTTTAGCAAAATCTGGATAAATTCCATGACAACAGCTCCTTTAGAAATATTATTACCAAAAAAACCATGACATGTTGATTGTTTATTCTCCCACACACTCGAAAAACAACATGAATGAACTGTGTGGAACCCTGCATTTTTTGACAGTGTATATCAATTATATATAATTTGTTCTGGGGCCGTCTGGCCATAGGGAGCACCGGTCTGGCCTACCACCGGGAGTCTGGCCTCATCCCCCCACTCCTCACTTTCTAGATCACATCAAATGTGGCCTGGCTGCATGACTCTGGCCTGCCGCGCACAACAACACTCCCCCCCCCCTTACCCCGCCTTTTTAATTTCTAGATCACATCAGATGTGGCCTGACTAACTGAAAATTTGGCCCGGTGGAAAATGCTTTCCCAGTCCGCCCCTGAATATGTTGTGGCCTATCTTAAAAAATAGGTTCTAAGCATAGTTTTGTAACATTTCCGTAAAGGTTTAAACAACTATAATTGCTAAATGTTGTCTGAACCTTCAAAAATATATATTTTTAATGTTTAAAATGAGTATAAAATTATACTACAATACATATTATTACAATAATTCTCAAGGGTGATTAGAGGTGGGTTTTAAATTTTTATTTCCTTCACATTATTGGCCATGCATGTACAATTCTTGTAAAGGTCTTTAAGGCAGAAAAGGCTAATGACTTTTTATGTTTCACAAACTGCAGTTTACAGTTATTAAATACTGTAGCTAATGGCTGTTTTTATATAAACAGGTGTTTGGCTTCATGGCAACTTTTCTTATTGCAATCAGCATATGGACTTCATATAAGGTCACCTGTGGCTCTCAACCGACTGGTGAGTCTTCACTGTGTTTGAATGATGTAATTTGTGCAAAATAACTGTGTGACATAGTGTGATATTTGTAGTATTGCAGAATGGATTTGTTGTTAACATCCTGCTGATGTTCTCTTGAAGGTGCCGCAGTGTAACCGGAAGAAGAAAACATCTTCATCTTGGCTGGAAGTATAAAGAAAAATTCTCAGTTTGTTCTGGATAGATCATAATGATGAGTGCTTTAAATACCCGAAAGGGACATTTTTGATGTTGCTGCATCCTTCATCAAAACTTGGGTGCCTTAATCGTCTTAATCGGTCACACTCTGAATTTTTCAGCTGCAAGACTTCAGTGTTCTTTTAAGAGTGAAGTTTTGGTTTACTATATGCCATGTCTGAAATGAAAAGGGGCCATTTATGCACAAGAATGTTTACATTATTTATTTGAAGTTATAATGTGAGATACAATTTTGATTCATTTATTTAGTTAACGAAAAGTTTAGATGAAGTGAGGTGTTCATGAAGGATTCATTCAGATTCACAGTATTATTATTATTATACAAAAGTTGAAGTGTATTTTTGCTTTTTTCACAGTACCTCTACATATAATTTTATGATATACAGCTTTAAAGTTTGAAGAATGTATTCTTGGCTTTCTAAATGCAAGTCCCTTTGTTTTATACACTGTGTGATATAAAAAGTCGACTTATATAGTCTATGCTGTGTTGTGTCCTTTCTGATTCAAATTTAGATATTTTGTTAACAGTTTTGGCTCCCATTAACTTCCATTATGCCTTTTGTCATCAGAAGTAGTCAAAATTTTGTTTTCTTTAAAAGGAGGAAGAATGAAAGTACAGATTTACTTTCCCTTTTGTTAACATTTATATTGACAACTCATACAGTAAACAACATGCGTGTAACAGTTGTCTTTCACACATTAACATGACAGAGACCTTAAATGGACTCTAAATGTAAATGATCAAAACTCTCTTCAATTTGCAAATTGGGGTAAAACAAACAGGGCAAAGGCAGATAGAACCTTCTGATTCTAAAAAAGTTTTGGAATCTATCTGGCAGATCATTAATTGAAGCATTACTTTTCAAGAAATACAATCAGTCTGCTTATTAATTAAAATTTGAAAAAATAAAAATTTGTGTTTTAACTATATTTATGCTTGAGAAAGTAAAGTTTTTGCTTTCTGTAACATTTATTTAATGTTTTAGGATGAATATTTTTTCTTGTTCAAATCAAGCATACAAGACTTATTAATTTTATGTAAATAATATGGTCATATTTATTAAAATTATATGCTTTATATGAATGGTTGAATTATATTTATTGAATTATTTGTCCGGTGAATGAAATTAAGAATTTGCTCTTCAAGGCTTAATATTCGATTTAAAGACTTTAAAAGAAAGTGTTTCTTTCTGGTCTTTCCCGCTGTCAACCGGCAAAAAAACAAAACAAACCAAAGAAAGCTGATCCTGATTGGTCCTCTTGCGTGCATTCGAAATGCTGATTGGCTCACATAAAGAACCTTATAGAGCCAAGCTAGAGTTTGACTGTGTAGATAAAACCTTTTTTGTTTTTTAAATTAAAAGTCTTAAATGTAAACAACTTATACAAAAACATCACATAATGTAAATAAGTTGTCATTTAATTAGAATATGTGAATTACTCAATTTTGACAAAAATGTCAGATAGAAACTTAAGTCTAAGGTGACGATTAAGCTCATTCTCATGAACATAATGCAAATTCTTAGATTCAATAACCTTATGTTATATATTATACACTGATTATTTTTAAGGTAAGTGGTTGTAAACAATTTATATGGGCTGAATTTAAACAAACAAGTTAATAGTAGTAATGTTCGACTTTTTTGTTTGTTTAAATTCAGCTTATATAAATAGTTTGAAACATTCTCCTTCTTTCTGTATTCTAATTTAAACAAATGTATTACAGTGATAAAAGTGTCTGATGGATGACAGTAAAGACACTTTTAAGGGGAAATTGCATCAAGACAAAGCATCCTTTAATGGATCTAAAACAAATTATATCTCTGCATGCTTTTGGAAGGAAATATGGACGTGAGCAGCACTAAGCATGTAAATAAGTACACCCCTCAGAAATCTATCTTTTAAATTCATGTTTTTAATAGGAAGTTATACAATATTATATTTGTGCATATACATTAGATTAGTCAGTACTGAAGCAAAATCTGGAGCTCATCTAACAAAATAACTTACAATAACGGTCCAAAAACTAGTACACCCAAATTTATGTTCTAGTAAAATATTAAATACAAATAAAAAAAAGAGGCAAAATCAAGAGAAGTAAAATTTTGTAATTTTTTTGCAATGTTTAGCTTGAACTTAATAGTATTATCTTTCCATTTTTAAATATGTTTGGTGACTAAAGTATTATTTTAATTAATATATCTGTTTAATAAATCTGTTTTGTTTAAATGCACCAAAATACATTGCCAACTGTATATTCACTGAGAAATGCATAAAAATATACATTTTCAAAATGGGGTGGACTCAATTATGCTGAGCACTGTATATCTTATATAGAAAATCGTGCACAGAGTGACTAATGATTACAGTAAATGGGTGTTGCTGGAAATTCCTGACCTGCTATCAGAGAAATGTTTTGAAAAGAGAAAGATGGAAATACATTAACATGTGCTATAGATCTCTTATGGGTTGTTGTAACTCTGCTGAAATGTTGGAGTGAATCTGAGGAAATATATTCCTTAGGGAAGAATGATGGCATTTTGATGGAGAGGGCTGGGGTGAAATGGAGAGAGCCGTTCCAGAGATTCAGTCTCAGTATCGCAGCTAATTTAGAAACATGACTCAAGAATATTCAGGCTCCTCCTTAAGGCTACTTTTGGAGCACAGTAGGGGCTTTTAAAGTGACTAAAGTAAACACTGCCGTGGTGCTTTGATTATTCACAATCTTGAGATTTGCATGCTTAATCAAACAGGACAAAGAGAAAACTTGTTGGGCTGTAATGGAGGATGAAAGGCACTGAATATCTGATAGTGTTTGTTCATTTTTACCAGAAGTGCAGTAGTTTTGCAACACAAATCCTGAATAGACTACAAACTGCGGTCTACTCTTGATATCAGGAAGCTTTTGGAAACATTAAAATTTGTTATTTCTCTTCAGAAGATAACCTGCACTTTCAAGCTACTTATTTAAAATGAGCTGAAACTACACAATTCTTGAGATTTCATTGGGACAACTTAAAATTTTTATGTTCAATCCATACAAATTAACTTAATCGATTTGTGTGGGGACAACATGAATGAATTTTGTGAAACCCTGCGGTTTTTTTTACAGTGTGCCTACTTGTTTTAAACAGTGACCGTTAATTTTTTCAACCATAATAATATTAGTGAAGGGGTAGTTTACATATATATATGTGTGTGTGTGTGTGTGTGTGTGTGTGTGTGTGTGTGTGTGTATTGGAGGAAACTCAAACAGGTGTGAAAAGTGAAGGGTGATTAAATTATAAAAAATGTTCATTTTTGGGTGAACTGTCCCTTTAAGAATACAACAACTTAAACTGCACTTTATGGATTCGGATCAGAGTTGCCATGTTTGCATTACAGAACCACCAAATGCAAATAAAAGTAGCCCAAATAGGCCTATCTCAACTGATTCTAACTTGTATGAACAGGTTTATGCTGCAATGAGGGAATAAATGTTTATCTATAAGTGTAAAAATATGTTTTAGTGCTTGGTTACGGTTCAGGGATAAACATAGTTGGGACAGAAGTCTAGGGAAAGTCCCCATAAGTCATAGTGACATAATATATGTGTGTATGTGTGTTAAAAATGAACTTCGTCTGCCCTCTTGTGGTTTATTGCAGCATTCGGTTTATGGATTATTCATATATTAACAAAAGAAAAAAAAACTGTTGAAATCGAAATCGCTACATTTACAAAATCATTTGGTTTTTATAAATTGTAATCCAATTGTAAAACCAATGTAAACTAAACGAAGACGAGAAATGTTACACTGGCTATAGCTGAAATCAAACACATACATGTGACAATCATATTTTAAAATATATATTTTTAACTAATTTAAGCAATTTTTTTTCGATTGCCTAGAACAAAACCACAATGATTAAGCTGAAATAATGGTGTCTTTCAAAATATCTAGTAAAATATAATGTACTTTCATTATGGTGAAAATAAAAAAATCAGTTATTAAAAATTAGTTAAAACTATTATGTTTAAATATGTTGATAAAATGTTTTTGTGTTAAACTGAAATTGGGGGAAAATATAAAGGGGGGCAAATAATTTAGGAGTGCTAATAATTCTGTCTGACTTCAACAGATATTTTATATATATATATATACACACACACACACACACACACACACACAGTGGAAATCAGAATTATTAGCCCCCTTTTGATTTGTTTTTTCTTTTTTAAATATTTCCCAAATGATTTTTTACAGAGCAAGGAAATTTTCACAGTGTGTCTGATAATATTTTTTCTTCTGGAGAAAGTCTTATTTGTTTTATTTCATCTAGAATAAAAGCCGTTTTTTTTTTTTAAACCATTTTTGGACAAACTTATTATATAGCTAATTATATAGCTAATTTTTCTTTCGTTAGTCTACAGAACAAACCATCGTTATACAATGCCTATTTACCCTAACCTGCCTAGTTAACCTAATTAAACTAGTTAAGCCTTTAAATGTCACTTTAAGCTGTATAGAAGTGTCTTGAAAGATATGAAGTAAAATATTATTTACTGTCATCATGGCAAAGATAAAATAAATCAGTTATTAGAAATGAGTTATTAAAACTATTATGTTTAGAAAAGTGTTGAAACAGTCTTCCCTCCATTAAACAGAAATTGTAAATAATTGTAAAAATAATTAAGGGGGCTAATAATTCAGGGGGGCTAATAATTCTGACTTCAACTGTATATATATATATATATATATATATATATATATATATATATATATGTATGTGTGTGTGTGTGTGTGTATGTGTGTGTGTGTGTGTGTGTTTATGTCTGTATGGGGCACAGCAAAAAGGTCGCGGTTCGAGTCCCGGTTGGGTTGGGTCAGTTGTCATTTCTGTAAGGAGTTTTCATGTTCTCCCCTTGTTTATGTGGGTTTCCTTCAGGTGCTCTGGTCCCCACAGTCCAAAAACATGTGCTATAGATGAATTGGGCAAACTAAATCGGCTGTGTGTGTGAATGAGTGTGTATGGGTGTTCCGGTACTGGGCGGGGACTGGAAGGGCATCTGCTGTGTAAAACATATGCCGGAATAGTTGGTGGTTCATTCTGCTGTGGCAACACTTGGTAAATAAGGGACTAAGCCGAAGGAAAATAAATAAATTAATGGATCTAATATGTGTGTGTGTGTGCATGTTTGTGAAATATTTATGTGATTTTTTTTTATATATATACCTTTTTATTTTTTTAGAATCATTACTTCAATTTTCAGTCACCTAATCCTTTATTAATTGTTCTAATAATAATATTAATAATATTGCAAATTTAATATAACATTATAGATTTTTTTTAGGCATTCACCTGTAATGTCTTTGCTTTCATGGCTGCATTGGGCTAAACTTGCTCAGCAAACATTCATTCATTCATTTATTTATTCATTTTCTTTTCGGCTTAGTCCGTTTATTAATCTGGGGATCGCCACAGTGGAATAAACCCACAAGTAATCCAGCATATGTTTTACACAGCGGATGCCCTTCCAGCTGCAAACCATCAGTGGGAAACACCCTTACACTCTCATTCACACACACACACTATGGCCAATTTAGCTTATCCAATTCACCTGTACTGCATGTGTTTAGACTTTTGGGGGAAACTGGAGCACCCGGAGGAAACCCATTCCAACACGGGGAGAACATGCAAACTCCACACAGAAATGCCAACTGAACCAGCTGAGCCTTGAACCATGCAGCGACCCACTTGCTGTGAGGTAACAGCGCTACCCACTGCCCCACTGTGCCGCCCTTCTCAGCAAACAATAACAAAATATTGAACAATAAATGTAATAAAATTAGTTATTACAATAATAAAGAAAATAGTAAAGTTGATCATTTGCATAACAGTTGCACAAAATATAAAGAGATACAAATTTTTGAAGGGTGCACAGATTATTGCTGTAGTTTCTTTAATGCTGTATTTTGATAAGATAACGTAAGTGTGTGTGTGTGTGTGTGTATTTGTGTGTTTGTGTGTGTGCATGCGTGCGTGCACAAGGGCATTTATTAATAATGACTCCAAACAATGATCCCAGGTGAGTGTGTTTAGCATGGGAAACCTTTAAAACAATATTTTCTCACAGGTTTGTGCATGAAAGTCTGGATTTTCTCAGAGCTTCTGTTGCTGGATTCTGGCCAAGTAAAGTTTATGTGCGTCTATGCAAAGTTTACCTGGATATTCAGGCTTAAGCAAAGCTAGCGATAAAGTTCAATGCTCTTTGGACTGTTTATCACATTATGTAAAATGAACTTCGATATGAAATGTGAGAAGATCTAGACTTTTGGCTTTTATCAGTTCACATCGGTCTCAAAAAGGTTGATTTCATTGCACAGAAGGAACAGAAGACCCATGAGGGAATATAATCAGATTAATTAAACAGGAGAGGAAACTAATGGACTGATAAAATGCCACAGTATATAAACAGCTCCTGTTAAAGAGGGGAATCACAATCACATGTTTTCTTTCTCTCTCCCTTTCTGTATGCAAAAAACATATCCCAAGCATCTACATACTGTATTTTGTGTTATTCATAAAAACGACACTCATACACACTTAGCGACCACTTTACACCTTACTATTACTGGGGTTGACCCCAGTTTCAAATCTCCCGTTCCACCACATCATAAAGGTGCTTTATTGGATTGAGATCTGGTGACTGTGGAGGTCATTTGAGTACAGATAATTCACGCTTTATGACATGACGCGTTATCCTGCTGAAAGACGCCATCAGAAGATGGGTATACTGTGGTCATAAAGGGATGGACATGGTCAGCAGCAATACTCAGGTAGGCTGTGGCACTGACACGATGCTCACTTGGTACTAATGGGCCCAAAGTGTGTCAAGAAAACCCCCCCCATTACACCACCAACAACCTGAACCGTTGTTACAAGGCAGGATGGATCCATGCTTCCATGTTGTTGACGGCAATTTCTGACCCTACTATCCGACTGTCACAGCAGAAATCAAGACTCATCGGACCAGGCAACATTTTTCCAATCTTCTATTGTCCAATTTTGGTGAGCCTGTGTGGTCTTCTGCTGCTGTAGCCCATCCGCCTCAAGGTTGGACGTGTTGTGCGTTCAGAGATGCTCTTCTGCATACCTCAGCTGTAACGAGTGGTAATTTGAGTTATTGTTGCCTTTCTATCAGCTCGAACCAGTCTGGCCATTCTCCTTTGACCTCTGGCATCAACAAGGCATTTGCACCCACAGAACTGCTGCTCACTGGATATTTTGTCATTTTCGAGCCATTCTCTGGAAACACTAGATTGTGGTTGTGTAAAAATCTGCAGTTTCTGAAATACTCAGGCCAGCCTGTCTGGCATCAACAATAATGCCACACTCAGTCACTTAAATCACATTTCTTCCGCATTCTGATGCTCAGTTTGAACTGCAGCAGATCATCTTGCTCTGGTCTACATGCCTAAATGCATTGAGTTGCAGCCATGTGATTGGCTGATTAGAAATGTGTGTTAATGAGCAGTTGGACAGGTGTACCTAATAAAGTGGCCAGTGAGTGTAGGTTGGGAACCAATTAAGGCAGAACAATAGTGATTTTTTTTCTTTTTGGTTGAACTTTTCTTTAGCTTATAGTCTCAAGCTTTTTAGATTCTGAACATATACTATTTTAATACATTTTTATTATTAAAGTGATATTTTTTAATGTGCTAATTAATATCTTCAACACTAATAAACCACTAATAAGCATTCAAACTAAAAAAATTAAGGCATGGCTAAAAAAGTAAAATGAATAGTTCATCCAAAGCTTTATTTTTTGCCATCAATTTCTCAGCGTTCACTTGTTTTAAATCTGTTAAACAGAAAAAATATGTTTTTTAAGAAAGCTGACATCCCTATTTGTGTTCCTAAACACTCAGCTTTCTTCAAAATATCTTCTTTTGTGTTCAACAGAATAAAGAAACTCATAATGGTTTGGAGCCACTTGAGGTTGAATAAATAGTGAGTAATCAGCATTTTTGGGTAAACTATCCCTTTAAAGCGATCTTCATGAAGTGTTTTGAGAGCCTGTCACAATCCCTGACAGGAGAAGTGAAAAAAATCGCAGAACAAAAATCCCAGAAACACCCCTGTGGTGCACACGCAAGTGGTGTTGACTTTAGCAGCCTCCGTAGGAAGCCCTTCCTTCATTAAAACAAAACTGAGGCAGGGCGGAAGTGAAACAAGTTCTCCGCACAAAGGACGAGTCGACGTAAACAGAGCATATTAAAACAACCATCCGACCAAACAAACAGGTATTTCAGTCTTGAAACTCTATTAATATTACTATCACACGTAAGCGTTTGCATCTGCATCACTTGAGTTTGTTTATATCGATCGCTTTATATTGATATACTTTGTTAGCTCAGACTTGACTTTGACTTTTTTCACTTTCGTTTCTATAAACGTGAAATACTGCTGTCGGTGTTTTGTTACGTTGTTTATTATGCGATATGTTATCTATAACGCTAAATTATTGCTCTTCTGGTTTGTAAGTGCGAACATCTGTTATAGTTAAACTGTTTTATATGCTTTTCGTTATCAGATTTAGCTACAGTAAATACAGTATGGCCACTCAAGACCCGGTGTATAACACCACCACAACAGCACCAGCACAGGCAAACAAATCTAAAGGATGGTTCAACGTGCCATCAGAAAATCTGGAGACAATACGATTTGTGATAAAAGTGGTCGAAATGGTAAGTAACACATATTCCTACCGTAACTTACTTTAATGTGGTAAAGTTGGTTTTATATTCGCATATTCGTTCAGGGACAACTTCATTTCTATGCTAGCCTACTTTGAAGATTCAGTGTGAAATCGCATAAGTGTGACTTCAAAAACAACATTAGCACTATTTATATGATTGTGAACAGTGTTGCACTTTGATAGGGAAGTCATATTAGCAGCTAATAACTATTCAGACACTTTTCTGAAATTATATTATTAGGAAGTCCAATATGTGTGAATATAAAACCAATTTTACCTTAGTCTAAACTTTAATGTTGTCTTGCATAACACACAATCTGTGAACATATGCAGCTATGAAAAAATAAGACTACAATGTACTGCCTGACAAAAGTCTTTTCGTTGGTCCCAGTTGTAAGAGCAACAAATAACAACTTGACTTCTAGTTGATAATTTGGAAAAATGTCAGAAGGTAAATTATTCCGATGAATCCTCTGTTGAACTGTATCCCCAATTATCACAAATACAGCAGAAGACCTATTGGAACCCGCATGGACCCCAAATTCTCATAGATATCAGTCAAGTTTGGTAAAGGAAAAATCGTGGTTTGGGGTTACATTCAGTATGGGGGCATGCGAGAGATCTGCAGAGTGAATGGCAACATTAACAGCTTGAGACATAAAGACATTTGTTCTGCCCATCACATTACAAACCACAGGAGAGGGCAAATTCTTCAGCAGGATAGTGCTCCTTCTCATACTTCAGCCTCCACATCAAAGTTCCTGAAAGAAAATAAGGTCAATGTGCTCCAGGATTGGCCAGCCTAGTCACCAGAAATGAATGTTATTGAACTTGTCTGGGGTAAGATGAAGGAGGAGGCATTGAAGATGAATCCAAAGAATCTTGAACTCTGGGAGTCCTGCATGAACGCTTTTTTGCCATTCCAGATGACTTTATTAATAAGTTATTTGAGTCGTTGCAGAGATGTATGGATGCAGTCCTTTAAGTTCATGGGAGTCTTACACAATATTAAATCTTTTTCCACTGCACCAAGACTTTATATTCTATACTGTACATTATTTCTGTAAAGTGACAAGACTTTTGTCTAAGCAAAGTCAAACCTTGCTGTCCTAATTAAATAATTCAAAATCAAGGCGTGATCGTATTTTATTTGGGTAAAATAAGCGTAGTCTAGAGGCCTTTGCCTTTCATATAAGCCACTTCTAATACCAAATGATCAACTAGAAGTCAAGTTATTATTTGTTGTTCCTAAAACTTGGGTAGGCAACAAGACTTTGGTAGGTAGTGTATGTTAAAGTTTAACTTAATTTTAGTATTGTTTTGCAAACTACTGCAAACATTACTCATTTAACATCAATTCTTGGACAACACATCACCAAAGTTTTATCTTAAAATAACGTAAAAAAAATATTTGGTAGAAATTATTTGTTGTCACAAGATGTCATTTTCTGGAAAGAAAATGCTTTTGATGACCATATTTCTATTTGAAATTTGGAGAAATGTGATCATAACATTATTGAATGAAACATATACATTTTACTCAAACACATACTGTATTAGTAAATGCAGGATTTCTAGAGAAATTGACTTTTCAAGTAGTCTCATAGCTGTTTATGTGAAAGGATTCACATTAAAGAAAGCACTGTGACTTTAGAGGTCATTCGTGACTAAGTGGTTTGTCTGGTTTAATGTTAGAACGTGGTTTACTGGGGATTGTTGGCACTCAAGTGTGTGAGTTTTCCTGAAAGTGTATAACACTAAACAGTAACATATAAAAGGAGCAGTTAAAATATGGCTGTTGTTGTTTTGACATATTCATTAGAATGCTGTGGTTTCTGGTGCATGCTAATGAAGCATTCTGCTTTATCATGAATCCACTGGCAAGTCTTGCACATCCTTGATAATGCTAACAATGTGCCAATGGGGGATGGAAACTTTTTAGACTCCATTTATTAAAGGCAATTTAGCAAAACAGTCATGTGCTGTTTGGTTATCACTCATGGGGCTTTTTGTACAATAGTTTAGACTGTAGGTCTTTGTCCCAAGTTTAAAAAATTCCCTCCAATTCCTTGGTATCTTCCATGTGTGTCAAATTGAAATTACATTTATGTCAGGAATAAGTGTTGTGTTATCTACAGTTCAAGTCACTATTTAAGGGATATTGTTGGGTTTTGGAAATATAAAGTATCACAAGCTCTGGTTAATTTTGTATTAGTTTTGCTTACATTCTTATACAGCATTGTTTGTATATACACTGCACACGATGGGTGTTATATATTTATAAGGCATCTGCTTAAGTTTGCGCAAACCCTAATGCTCCCTGTTTTAAGAAATAATATACTTTAACTCTTTTGCTCTTTAAAGAGATAGTTCACCCCAAAATGAGCATTTACTAACAATTTAAGAATCCTCAAGTGGCTCCAAACCTGTTTGAGTTCTTTCTGTTGAACACGAAGGAAGATGTTTTGAAGAATGTTGGAAACTGGTAGCCATTGACATCCATACACTGCAAAAAATGTTCCTACTTAGATTTTTGCTGGTTTCTAGTCCAAATATAAAAAAGTCTTAAATCATAATAATATACAAAAATAATATGTCAGAATTAAGTGAGTTTTCCCTTAAAACAAACTAAATAATCTGCTAATGAGGTACTGTATTATTTCTCAAAACAAGACAGTAGTTTTTGAAAATGCTTCTTGATTTAAGACTTTCACAGATATTTGGACTAGATACAGCACAAAAATCTAAGAAAAGCCTTTTTTGCAATATAGGAATGGTTTTTAACATTTATCAAAATATCTTCTTTTGCAATCAACAGAAGAAACAATCTCAAACATCTTTGGAGGATGAGTAAATAATGGCAGAATCTTTATTTTTATCTTTACATTTATAGCACTTCTATGTTTAAAAAAATGTCAGTATTCTGTTAAATGATCTGCCTGGTACAGATTTCCATCAGTAGTTTTTTTTTTCTTCAGACTTTCTATTCTTTTTTGCACTTTGACCTTTTTTTATTTGTTGCACCAGTATTTAAAAGACATATGTGAGACAATTTAGGGGGTCTCTTTAATTGGTTAACACTTTATTTTAACTGTGTGAATTTGCAAGCTCACACTTGGAAAAAAGACCAAAGGGCATTGTCTGTTGACATGCTAAAGCAATATCAGGTGTTTGAAAAGGCCGTCTGCCTATTAAATTGTAAATGCAATTAGAGGGCAGATGCTAAATTCAATTACAGACTCATTCCTAACTTTCACAGTATGTTGTGGTGGCTCTAAAAGTTTCAATGACATTGAGATATATACTCTACCAAGAACCCAGGTACAGAGAATAATGGACCTGAACAAATTAAATTTAGCCAGTAGTTACCACATAAAGGTGAACTCTGAGACAAATGTCCTTTTTTAGGAGTAAATTCCCATTTGGTCGCAGCCTTGGTCTCATGCTTCTCCGGAAATTAGATTTAATCAAGTGTTTAAGCCTGTAGTGTACTCAGGGAAATTGCTACTGGAGTTTTTTTTTTTTGTCCATGTACTCAAGTGTTCTCCTCGTGACATTGAACAGTACGGTATTAATCATGATCTAGTGACCGGACTGAAATGGGCAGTTCAGTTATAGAGTTGAAATGAAATGCTGTACATTGTCACTTCTTTCTCAACATTGTTGAGGAAGAGATTTTCAAATATTGGGATCATGACTTTAAATGTAATCAGCTGGTGTGCATTTCATATTTGAAATGGCATTTAATTTCCTGTTTCACTGAAAATAACACTTCACCTGGGTACTTCCCATGCAGGTGTAACTTCATCTAGATCAGTTTGAGTTGTTTTTAGTGGGCATTTACACAAAATGGTTTTCAGCTGAGAGGTTTTTTTAAATGCGTTTTGGACTTTCAGGTACACAATGAATGACATGTAGCAGCCTGCAAATACAAACGTTTGAAAACAAGTTTTAAATTGCAGTGTTTTGAAAACAAAACCATGATCATCCATCTATACGTCACACAGAGATCTATGCAAAACATTCATTTGTTTTCCTTTGGGTTAGTCTCTTTCAGAGGTCACCACAGTGGAATGAGCTGCCAACTATTTCAGCATATGTTTTATGCAGCTGATGCCCCTTTTATCTGTAAACCCAGTAATCAGAAAACACTCATACACGCTCCCATTCACACACACTTTGGACACTGTAATTTATTCAACTCACCTATGATTGGGTAAGCTAAGATTGTCCTTAGTGTATGTGTGTGAATGAGTGTGTATGGATGTTTCTCAGTTATGGGTTGCAGCTGAAAGGGCATCCGCTGTGTAAAAAACATATGCTGGATAAGTTGGTGGTTCATTCCGCTGTGGCGACCCTGGATTAATAAAGGGACCAAGTTGAGGAGAAAGATGAAAGATTTCACCTGTACCGCATCTCTTTGGACTGTGGGGAAGTCAGAGCGCCCGGAGGAATCCCACACCAACACGGAAAGAACATGCAAACTCCACACAGAGATGCTAACTGGCCCAGACAGGACTCGAATCAGCGACCTTCTTGCTGTGAGGTCACATTTTACAGAATTGCACTTTTAAATCCCCCCTAAATAATGACAAAGCTGGGTTTACTAGAATTGTATTTAGTGTTTTCATTTTGTTTTATCAAGAAGTAGGGCTGCAGAATATATCGTTTCAGCATCGATATCTTAATGTGATCATTCGCAATAGTCACATTGCGAATATACGCAATGTTGAGTCTGAATTATAATTGATAATTTTGCAAGTGTTTTTTGAGGCCTGTGACAGTATGAGGTTTATAAAAATATTCAGGCATAAGAAATAGTTCTATTTGTAACTTTGAAAAATGAATACTGATTACTTTTATTGAATTGTTTATAAAACGAAGACTATGCTGTATTATTTTACATTTGATTATTAAATTACTGTATAACTGAATGCATTTCAACTCTTCAGATAACAATTAAGTTGATTTAATTTTTACTTTTTCTTT